GTTTTTTCAGAGATATTCAGATAGTCCATTTAACTTGGAAGATTTTTTGCCTCTTGAGCTTTCGTCGAATCTGCCAGGGGTTTTGCGTAAAACATGATCAAAGGAAGCTTTAAACTCTTAAAGAGTGCGTACCATTTTGGCACGGAAATTGAGTATGTACAGTTGCAAAAAATATTTTTGTTTTATTTTATTTTCGTTTATTGTGCGTTTGCGCATTATTCAAATAAAATGCCAAGCCAGACGATCGAAAAAAAACTGTAAAGACTGAAAATTAAATGTTCGACTAAGTTCTGACAAAACAAACCTGACCCCTCGAGCATCTATTCATTTATCAAGTTCACTCATAATTTGTTAGATAAGAGACAACTTTAGAAATGATCGCTCTTCTATTAAGGCCTGTTTTTCATCCGGCAAAAAAATCGCCTTGCCTCGTTTTTGAAGCATTCGAGCTTTACTGGAAATTTAATTAGAATCTTCTCTTATTCTTTTTGCGGTTTGTTTGATTTCAATTAATTAGATTAATTAAACAGATGATTTTCCTTAGTTCATTCTAGTCCAAGGTGACAAGCTGCTGTTTTCTACTTCTGGCATTGAACTTGGCATGGTTGAAACTGTTGTGATTTGCAAAAAATCCCAGCAAAAACTTTTAAGAGAATGGCAAAAGCATTGGCATAGCTTTTTGCTTTTTGTAATTTTCCAAAGTTTCGTGAATATTTGCAGGAGTTTTGTCTGGTAGTTTTCGTCCGAACACCGTCATAATTAGAAATGAATGTAGAACCATTCGTTCCGGATTCGATTGTTTCGTAATAAAATCTCACATGCAGCCGCACTTGCAGGCTTCCTGAAAAAGACACCAGACAATGAAACGATCATTATTCATCGCTTTGCAATGGTGTTGGGACTTTCATTTATTTACAGTTGCCTGCTTATACTCTGGCTGATAATTATTTAATTTTGTTTTATTACTCAATGGCTATTTACTCTCCATATTTCGTAATTTTTGCTCACTTTTTCCAATGTTCTCCCCAAACACATTCATGAAAATGTTGTGAAACAATGGGAAGTCATTGGAAATGCGACACTCACGAACATCTGATCCATGAGTTTTGTGTTGTCTTAAGGTTGATTTCATTGTCGTACTATTTTCGTATTCACTGACCCACAGACAAACGTTGCTCAAATACCAAACACCACTTGAGGTTGATCCCTTGAACATGATTTACTGGTTAATAATACGAATTATGCAGGTAATTGATTGGTATTTGTGTCAATGCGCTGTTTACTGCTAATTATTTACAATGTTTGATATATTAGTTCGAACTCCAAACTTTCATGCAGAGCCTTTATGGCGGTTTTTTCAGAGATATTCAGATAGTCCATTTAACTTGGAAGATTTTTTGCCTCTTGAGCTTTCGTCGAATCGGCCAGGGGTTTTGCGTAAAACATGATCAAAGGAAGCTTTAACCCCTTAAAGAGTGCGTACCATTTTGGCACGGAAATTGAGTATGCACAGTTGCAAAAAATATTTTTGTTTTATTTTATTTTCGTTTATTGTGCGTTTGCGCATTATTAAAATAAAATGCCAAGCCAGACGATCGAAAAAAAACTGTAAAGACTGAGAATTAAATGTTCGACTAAGTTCTGACAAAACAAACCTGAGCCCTCGAGCATCTATTCATTTATCAAGTTCACTCATAATTTGTTAGATAAGAAACAACTTTAGAAATGATCGCTCTTCTATTAAGGCCTGTTTTTCATCCGGCAAAAAATTCGCCTTGCCTCGTTTTTGAAGCATTCGAGCTTTATTGGAAATTTAATTAAAATCTTCTCTTATACTTTTTGCCGTTTGTTTCATTTTGAGGAATTTTAGTTTTTTAGGAACTACAGTAAACTAAAAAAATTATCAAAATAGTCAGGCTTTTGGCGGCCGAGAAAAAAACACGTAAAACTCACCAGTTTAAGTTTAGATGTGCGATTTCGACCTCAATCTCAGACCT